TTGCAGCCATCATAGTACATAAACTTTAGCCTCTTGACAACTGTTCCCTAGTTTGAGGTCATGTTAATTTTGACTTCTCAGATTAGATTGTGAAAGCTTTCCACAGTGAACTTTTTCCTCTTTATAACATGAAAGCAATGGGAGTGGATACTTTGACATCTATGTTGACAACTATGCACTACTCAGATCCACTTTTTCTTTTTGAGACAGGATCTTTATCCCAGGCTGGTGTCAAACTCTGATTGGGTAGTCGAAGATGTCCTTGAACCTTTGGGCTTCCTGCTTCTACTCCTGGGTACTGGGATTTCAGGAATGTGCTTCCATAGTGGGCTGAAGACTTGCTGGGGAACCCAGGCCCTTCTGCTGGTCAGGCTAGCACTCTACCAGCTGAATTGCATCCTTAACCCATTCTCCGCTTCTGTGTGACATTCCTGATGATAGTCAGTCCTTCTTAACTGTTAATTCTGATGTGATTTCAGACCTAAGAGTCTTAATGCTAAGAGAAGTAATTTGCATTTGTTTTTCACCTCGATTGATAAGTTGTTTCCTTGTATTACTTCGTAGTCTGTGAATCATAGAGCGTAAAAGTACCGCTCACAATGGTGTTTGGTTTTCTTTGTGTCCCATGTTCACTGGAAAGAGAGTTCTGTAGGTTCTTTTTTTTCTTACTGGTTTGGGTGCCTGTACTCTTTAACCAGTGTAGTTACTCTTCCTTTACTGTCTCACGATGCTGACTTCTGTTCTGTGAAACTGCATGTGTGAGTATGTACATGTGCAGGACAACCAGCACACACAGCAGTTTGTCCAGGCACTTAGCTCGGGCAGTAGTCACCAAATGGTTAAGTACTGCATATATTTTGGGGAATAGAAGAAGCCTTAAGAAGAAACAGGGTGAGTAGTGACAACTGGAATGTCTTCTGTTGCCCATGGACTAAGAATACAGTTCATGGGGTTTCTGGCTCTGCCTATCTGATTTGCAGGAGTCTGTTTATCAGTCATTCTCAGTCCCTGGGAGAATGGAGCCTAAAAATGAGGTGGACCAAAGTCTCATGCAATAGCTAACTTTATTCAGAGCATCAGACAGTTTATACTCTTCGGGTTAAGAAAGGTCATGTGAGTGGCAGTAGATTTGCCTATATTTTCCTTTTAATTCTGGGGCTTTGTTTTGATATTCTGAAGTTCTTTTGATAAGGGCATACACATATTGCCTGGAGATACTCATATTTTGTCAAGATATATGTACCTATCTTCTTCAATAATTTTCCCCCTTTAAATTCTGTCTTGATCTGCTCTTAACATCATTTATTTTATGCTTACCATTGCATTGTCTATATACTTATATATCCTTAAACATAAAATTTTCATATATAAGCCATTAATATTTAAAGTATAAACATAGACTATGAAACCTGATTTCTTAAAAAAAAAAAGAAAGGTCATGTGAGTATATAATCACAAAGACAAGCTACATATGGCAAAAGCATAGTTTCCATAGAGGCATATAAATAAATGACAACAGCCAGTTGTAATGAATCATGTAAAGCAAACTCACCACTATCTACTTTACCTGGGAAGGACATGGAAGCACATGTCAAGAACAATTCTGTGTTTGTTAAGAAACTGAGGTCACAAGACTCTTGTTTTCTTGGTGTTTTCTCATAAGCACTCAGAATTTCCCTCCCACGACTCTATTCTTGCATGGTGTTCTGATACTTGCCTAGGCCACAATTACTGTAATAGTATTTTACTTGGGGAGAGGGTGGTAGAGAAGCTTCTAAAATTGGATATAATTGTAAATGTGTGTACATTATTAAAAGATAATATTCTAAACTTTTTAGTTATCAAGTGATCGATCCCTAATTAATAACTTTTAGAAGTCAAGTTTTACCTTTTTCTCAAATGACTCATTGATTTTTAACCATCTTCCAAAATAAGTATGCATAAGAAGCATGTAGCAAATATATAAGTTTAAAAATTTATATGTTTAAGCTTCAAAGTCAAAATGTATAATAGTTTCCTGTATTAATGATTTAAATTTTAAGTTATATTTTTTAGAATCATAATAGCTGAGGCTTGAATGAATGCT